GTCTAATCTTAACCCTCCTCACCCTTTTCCTTTTGGCATGAGACTAACCCTTCCCTACTCACTTGTCACATTGTCAAGGGACGAACGGTGAAAGAACTTTGGCCTCATTTGGTGGAAAGCGAGGGCAGAGGGCTGCCGGTCCCTTGCGATACCAAGAAGGAAAAGTGTTTTGAGGATTGGAAAGACTTATGAGCTCGAAGGACTTCAGGATTTGTAAGGACTTGAGGATTGACAAGTTCTGAGGCTTGAAAAAACTTGCTGAGTGAAAGAAAGGTCAGTGGACCCGACCAACACCCCGACTGCATGTGAAAGAGAAGATGGTTTGGGCAATGGAAAGGACTGAAGAAGGAAAGAACCAAGGGACAAAGGAAATAAGCATGCGGGAGGGATTATGTGTTGACCCCGAATGGGGGGGTTGTGCTTGTCTATACTGCATCGAGTGTGCAGGTGAGTAACCTTAGTTGGATAGTGCCCGGAGAGGCCGGGCGGCGAAAAGGGACTGAAGCTGAATGGGTTGTGAGCGTAACCCTCCCTCATGAATGAGTTTGTTGTGCATATTGTCCTGCTGGTAAAAAGGAAATGTGGTCTGAATGGTTGAAGGCCTGCGAGAGCAACGGGCGGTCGAGAGGGCCGCCAAGTCGCATGGAAGTGTGGGCGGGGCCCGAAAAAGACTAAGGGGTGTATAGGCAAGCAACAACACACAATGTGGGAAATCTGAATGATGCATGAGATAGATGAAGCCAGCACATAGATCGGCTAGAGGATGGAGCAGGGTGCGCCCTAGTGAGGCGATGGGGCCAACGCGACTTAGTCCACGGGCCTAAGCTGAGGGGCACCCCTCTACCTCAACGACGCCTCTACGTTTCTGCACTTAATGAATGGATGCGTGGCCCAAGGAAGACACTTGGCCTATGCATATAAGAAGAAAAGTCTTCGAAGGACCCCCTGGACTGCTTGCGTATTGGAAGGAGCAATTGCATGCGAACATAACAAAGGTATCAAAGAACGTACGCTTGCGAAGGATCAGCGAGACTACCCACCTAGCGCGAGAGTTGAGCTACATCCCCAATGTCAAAGCTCTCTCGCTCGCTGGCCCACCCCCATCCATCTCAAAGCACTAGGTGGGGGTGACCCTGCGACGAACGGCTTCGCGCCCTGAGCATGAGCGTGGGCGGAGCTGAGCCAACTAGGACTAGCTGAAGGGTCGACTCAGGCTCGGAAGTCTAACAGGGTGGGGCCCTACAACGGCAGCGTGCTCTGTCGTGATTTTGCACTTCGAAATTGGCCAGGGTTGTAACAAGAATAAAAAGAAACTTATTTTTTAATATGACTGCGATCCGGACGTCCGTATCGCAGTGCGGACTGTCTGGGTCCAGCTGTCTGGGTCCGGTGTCTGGTCCAGAGCCTCCGGACCTGCCCCCCCACCCTGAAAAAAAATATCAAAAAAGTAATAAAAAAAAACTTTAAGAACAATATGTTGTGCAGCATTGCGATGCAATTTTCTTTTGGTTGAGGATCATCTCGAAATTCACAGCCAAATACGAGGAAAAAGATAAACTCATAAAAAATATTCTTTTTTTTAGGGGGTGGGGGGTGGGGTCAATCCAGATTGTCCAGGGCCATCCTAGCAGAGATCAGTACTCGTACAGCCTCAGATCCCTCCGCATGACAACACACGGATTCGAACCGGCATCCTTGGCCTCAAGAGCCAAGCATCGTAACCACT